AATCTGTGGTCCATGAGATCATCTAAGAGGGAGGAAAATAATTTCCCAAAAGGATGACGTGTTTGGCCCAAGGCCATGTAGTAAGGAGCTAACTAGGACTAGAGACCAGGTCTCTTGATGGGTGGCCCTGTGTTGTTTCCACCATCCTGCCCAATGGACTTGACTTGTATCTCATGGCAATGGAAACCTTCTATTCAGGTGAGGCAGAAGGATAGACCAGGACTTTTTATTCTCCCTTTTCTAATCCAAGGCCCTTTGGTAAAGAAGAAAGTGGAAGACCCTTCACAGAGTTAGGAAGTTATGAAGCCCTGCCAACCCACTTCTTGTCCTATTCCTCTCCCAAGTATGTGTTTTAATTCCTTTCCAAACTTGGACAACTTCTCCAGGGTCTGGAAGACAACCACAAGGGGAAGATTCACAACAATCAATGGCTCCCTAGTATCAAATACAAACTCTTCTGCTTGACAGTTAATGCCTTTCATAACCTGGCTCTACTGATTTCACATTATTTCCCAACATATAGGCTATGCATGAGCCAAGCTGACCCCATTGACAATATTGACATGCAATGATCCAAGGGAGTCAAAAAGAGTAGGGCATGACTGAATGACTGACCACCAGCAATCTTTGTACATCTTACTTCCCCCAGTGGAGTGTAAGCCCCTTGATGATAGGACCATGGAATTTTTTGTCTTCATATCCCTAGTGCCTAGTACAATACCTGGCGCAGAGTAGGCACTTTATAAATACTTGTTGAATTGAGTTGAAGGATTGGTGGCCAAGATTGGAGCAGCATGGTGCAATGGATAGAGAACTGGCCTCAAAATCAGGAATTCCACTCAGCTCAAGTCCTTCCTTTGACAGACTGGCAGCATGACCCTGGGCAAGTCACTTAACTTCTGAGTGCCCTAGGCAGTTCCATGAAACTCTAAGTTGTTGAGATGGTTCCATCCTGCACTGATAGAGTTTCTTCAGCCAATAGTTTCCTATACCAATCCAGTCACAAACATAGTGTCTAGATATCTCTGTCCCTAGCCCCCGATTATGGAACAGAGTAGGTGATTTTCCTGAGCATTTACATCTCCTGATCACACGACCCCCTTAGCAAATCCACTTGCTAAGAGAGCTGGGGAATGGTGGTTATACTTGGCACCCACTTTTCTTATGAAAAAACTTCCCTCCTAAAGGAAGTGGCATTTCTTCCTTTGTGAGCTCTACCACCACCACCATCACCACCCCCAAAAGGTATTTTTAGGAGCAGTAAAAGCAATCTGAAGAGTGTTTTTTTTTTTTATTTTTTGGTCACAATTTGCTGACAGTTTTCAGATACATCCTTCAAATTCCTTCCGACTTATTTAAAGTTATGCTTTCCATCTTGTACACACAATAGCATGCAAATGTAATCAAGTGATTAAAAAGTCAGTAATCTCTGATGACATTACAAAATGTCAACATTTCCCTTGCCTGGAAAATACAGATGGAAAGTAAAAAATAGGTCGTTCCCCTCCTGTCTCAATAAGAGCCAAACTTTCATGCTGTTTAGAAAGCCTTGGGACCCACTTAGCTGCATTTCATTATGCAAACTACACACTATAACAATAAGAAATTTAGCTTCCCAATCTCATGACTTGCATCTTATCTGATCACAACGTAAGTAGGAATTAGAAGATACTGGTTGGCAAGGACATTAGCATTAAAACTATATGACAATAATGTGGAAACATAAAGACTTGTAAAGATTCCTCAAAGCATATGGCTGTGAAGCATCTTAGGTCAGTGGGAACAGCTTGCTAATGAGTCAGGGTTGGACTGAGTTTCTCCCTTTGTGAGCCAATTAAATTCAACTAACTTGTCAGCGTATGGGCAGCTAGGTGGTACACTGGGCCTGGAGTCAGAAAGACTCATCTCCCTGAGTTCAAATCCAGCCTCAGATACTTACTAGCTGTATGACCCTGCGCAAGTCACTTAACCCTGTTGCCTCAGTTTCCTCATCTGTAAAATGAGCTGAAAAAGGAAATAGCAAACCCCTCTTTGCCAAGAAAACCCCAAATGGGATCACAAAGAGTCAGACACAACTAAAACAATACAACAACAGTTTGTCAATGTATGCCACTGGTTACATGGGACCCTGAGAAGAAATTGTAAATGGTGTTGTATTAACTGTCCTCCCCACCAAGGAAAATAAAATACCACTATAAAACATACATTCTCTAAAGTGTTGATAAATTAATCAATAGTGACATCTATGTACAGGAAGAACTTTTTTTTCTAAAAACATATAATAACTTTTATAAAAATCATTTGATGAGTTGGTACAGTGGAAAGATCACTGAACTTAGAACTAGAAAACCTGGGGGAAATGACTTTACCAAGCATAAAATCATTGTCCATAGTTAATAGAGTTAGAGCTGGAAGGGACCTTGGAGTGTATCCAATCTGATCCCTCCGTTGCACAGATGTGGAAACTGAGACCCAAGGAGACAAAATAACCTTCAAAGACACACAGGTAGTGAGAACAGTGATTCGAACCCAGATCACAGACTTCAGATCTAATACCCAGAGCCAGAACTTGTGCCTAGATCTTCTGAGTCCAAGATCCATCCATATGCTGACCACTATACCATGCTGTCCATAGTAAACTTAGACGGGACTTCCAAAAACCAAAAAGATGATCAAAAATTTACTAAGTACCTGCTAGATCATCTAAATATCCAATTTATCAATAAAGTTACAGTAATAGACAATCAGTATCCTAGAACAAAGATATGTGTGCTAGGTATATATGTGTGTATACATATACATACATACATACATACACACATACACACACACACACACACACACACACACACACACACACACACACACA